CTGAGCAGCTAGAGTCATTCTTAGCTAAGCTGGGCGAGCTCGTTACATTGTGATTTGCATTAACCCCGACTTCACTAAAATGGTTGACGGAACAGAAAAACCCAGAATCCCTTCTAAGTTTGCAAAACGCGCAGCGCGATACAACGAATTTCGCTGTAAATAACAGTTATTTAGGAATACAATTTTAATAGAAAACAACAGCACAAAAAAAAAGAAAAAGAAAGAAAGAAAGAAGGAGAAAAAGGGATGAGTAGGACTCGAACCCGCCACAGAGGCTGATTACGTAACCTTGGTAAGAAGTCTTTAAGGTGGCTCGATACAGTTTTCAGGGTCAATACCTACAAATTTTGAGCATAAACTACGTCGCCATAAACAAAGATTTAGAAAAATCGCCAGCACAGTTGTATTAGATAAGGATGAAAATTTGTTAAGATCAGGGTTGCAACGACATCGGAGTTGTCATAGCAACGAAATGACGCTGTTTCCTATTTTACTTTCAGCAGTATTTCGCAGCACTGGGAACTGTTCTTCGAAAATCGTTTATGGGAGCTTTTTACTCCAATAGCGGCCTCGATGTTCGTGACGTTTAAGTGTAATCTGTTAGAGCGTTATCGAGATATTTGGGATAAAGTTTTTATGGTTAGAAATACGGTAAAAAAAAAAAAGGACAATCTTGATGTTCGGCTGTATCTATGCTCATCTTCTCGTCAAGTTTAAAGCCTGGACGAGTCAAAGGCTCATGAATTGAAATCCAGTCCCCAAGTTAACCATCGTACGCATCTTAAAGACTCCTGCGTGTGTTAAATTTGGTAAGACCTCTAACCGTGCTCTAACCTGCCTCAAAGAAAACAGCGAACGATGCACGCTCCCACCCACCGAACTTCCTCGTGTTTTTATTTAAGTTGTTCGTGGCCTAATGCATTCTGGTAAAAGGGAGTGCATTGCACTCTGGTTAAATGCAATGCATTCTGGTAAAAAGTGATGAATTCGAGAATTCGTCCCACCTTATGTATTTCCCTTAAATCCTGATTACGAGTGGATGTTTCATTTTTACAAGTTGTTTAATAGTTGTAGAAATAACTTCATAAATGTTCGGACCTTAATTAGTATTATTATTCATTCAAAATATTTCCCCGATTCTGATTGGCTAAAAGCACACGTTTAATTCACCATAACCAGTTACTGATTACCAAATTTGGAAGAATTTTGTGTTTAACGAGGAAATGACGTCAAAAATGCACCCCTCTACAGGTTAATGAACCGTTAACCGAGAAGACCTAGGGACGAGGTTGAGTTATTTTGGTTGTGAAAACAAAAATGGTCGACACTTCACTCGTTTTAAGAGTAAGAACTACAGCTGGAACTAGGCGAACTAATAGTTAAAAACAGCAAAAACAGCAAGAAGACAACTCGTAGGGTGACATCTACTATTTGGAGAATATTTGCGGAGCTGGACAAACCTAAACGTACACTATCGAAGATGAACTGAACATCAATAGATCGATGGAGGTAAGCATGTTTTAGCTATGTTTTTAAAACTAGGAATTATTTTGAATGAATAATAAAACAGTTATTGAATTCGGCTTTCGTATCAGATGAAGAATTATGGAGATCTCAGAGGGTGTTATCCTCCTCGGCCTAAGGCATCGACGGATAACATCCTCCTCGATCTCCATAATTCCTCATAAGATACCCAGACTCATTCATTAACTGTTAAATAATCAGAAACTCAAAAGGGGTTAACCTATTCACAGACCCTCTATTTTCTCTTCAAAGTCCGTCGAGCGCTGGCGATAAAATATAAACCGCAGGGAATTTATTGACGGCCGCCAGCGCAAGGGGGTAGTTGTGGGGGAAGAAGAAAATTCACGGTCTGTAGACATCTTTGGGAGCAACTGAAACTTGCTTTTCCCAGAGAAAGCAAATTACCATTGGCTGAAGGACAATTATCCTGTGATGAGTCATTTCAATGACTCATCACGCTCGCGTCATGCGAGTAGAAGCGTTTGTCATTGCCCAGAAGCGGGCTAACCGCGACACTTGCTATTGTAATTTGCATAAGAAAATAACATCGATTGAAAGCGCCGCCGACTTATGAACTTGGGATGGAGTCATACTACGAGCTTGTGTTGACCATGTTAACCATAATTATCTTTTCTATCGGAGTGTAGACTATGACGACTGTTTGGCTCAATTTTAAAGCAAAGAAAAAGAAGAGCAGCGCCAGGCTGTTTTGGGTTTACTGAAGCAAAAGGATCTTGTGACGGTTCTTCCCACGGGTTTTGCGAAAAGTTTAATTTAGCAGTTGTTTGCGGCAGTGAAACTCAAACGAAGAGAAAAGGACGTTGAATTGTAGTTGCATCACAATTACGAAGTATTATCAATGATCAAGTTGAAGTAATGAGGGAAGTTGGCATTTCAGTCATTGCATTACCTTGCCGCAGACCATCAGGTGATGCGGATATTCAAACCGAAAGTCAACCTCGTCCCCAGGGTTCTCTCCTATCTAGGAGAGAACCCTGGTAACGAGGTTGACCGAAAGCTATCATCGTCGTGCTCGCTTTCTTGAAAGCTGGCTTTAATAAAAAAAATCCAGTTCGGGTGCTTCTAGCCTGATTACTGCAATGCAGACAAACCCTACTTGACTGATCTTCTGTTTGCGAAACGGTAAAACCAAGATCTCTTAAACCTTGACTTTCGTTTTGTAATTAACACCGTGACGAACACTCTCAAAAAAAGATTCTCTGTAGCTTTACGGGAACGGAAAGATTGCCCAGTACTATTGAGGTATACAAAGCACCCACACGTCCTACAATAATCCGATGTGCCGATTTGTTTCGGCTTTGGACCTCTGTTAGCCGGTCTTTTGGGCGTAGAAGCAGAGAAGCAGTCTTAAGGAAGGTCTAAAAGAAGACATGCTTTAACAAACACGCGACTCCGAGTGTCATTGTTGTTTGATTGTAAAGTACTTAAGCCAATTACACAAGCAACTTATATCTCCAATTCCATTGGTCCAATTTAATTGGTACTGCGAACGCGGAGGAGATAATAAATGATGAGGCGTTGAACCTCGTTTTTCCCAAATATGTCTACAGACGTTCTTTCTTTCTCCCCCGCTGTGCTCGTTCTCCCGCGCTTTCCTCTCTCGCACGCTCGCCGATGTTTTTGAAAAGAACGAAAAGGAAAGTAAAGCAACGTCTGTTCTTCTTGGTTGCCGTTTAAGGACGAAGTAAATCTTCAACAGGGTAGTTTAATATTTAGGCGCATTAGAAACGAAGATGACTGCCCAGACTATATCTTTTTTGTGGAGGAAGGGAAGCTTTTCATCAACAAATCGTCCTTCGCGGAATTCAACCTTGTTTTCTTCACTGCAGAGCGCATGGTCTGTTTTGAAATGCAACCAAGGCAGCGAAGTTTTTGCTGAATTTTCAGGTACATTTGGCACTCTATGGCCGAGAAACTTACGTTTTCGAGAGGGAATTTTTTGTATTTATTAATGTTTAATAGACGCTAGAGAAAAATTTCAAAATGCGCCCCGATTTGAGATGGATTTTGTGTTGAATTATGCCATGTGCTCAGCCGATTTTACTTGCGTAAACGGATCCACGATCCAAATAGTGTTATGCGAATTGCTTTAAAGGATTAACTTTGTGGAGTTTGAGTGAAATGGCTTCTCTGTCTATTGTTTGAGTTGGTTTATTCATAAAAATGGCTCAAAACACGATCGTGAAACAGGCATCCAAGGTGAATTCCTCACGCGGAGATGTTGGCGAATCACTTATACAATTTTTACTTTCAGGTTAAGTTTTTGAACACTTTTCGATACGCAGCCTGCTAATGAATTTTATTCGAAAATACGTTTTACTGTTTATTCTGTACTTTTAATATGAGACTTTTCAATGCCTATTTGCAGCATAAGTTTATTGCGAAGAGGGTCACCGAGGTAACGTTTTTTGAAGTGACAACTTCAAGAAGTCGAGCGATCGTCACTGGCGTTTCATATTGTTGAGTTTGGCCCGGGTGGTAAGCCAGTTTCCTGCTCAGTATTTCGGTAAGGAAACTGGTTTCAACATTTGAAAGCTTACTCGGCTTTCGGGAGTTTTTCCCCCGTTTGTCGGCCATTTTTTTTAAGCAGGCGCGGAAACGAGAAGTAAAATTACGTCACGTCGTTAACGAAGTTTGATTGGTCAGTTATCTTTTCTTCTCGTTCCAAATATAGTACTTTCAAAAATGAATAATCACGAGCATTGGACAAAACCCCTTGTGAGTTTCTGCAATAATTAAAGGTCCCTTTGATGACGTTGGCATTTCTTCTAAATAATACTTGCCTAACATTTGTTCAGGTTGTTGTGGCTTTTTTGCTCTTATTTTGTTTGGAACCAAGAATTCAGTTGTTTCGTTTTCTGGCTTTAATTAGATTGGATGCCAAATGATCTACCTTGTTCAGCTTCTTAGTCACGAAGTCTGAATACTTGGTGAAACCTTATAGCCTTTGAGTATTGTAACTTTATATTTCTTTAAATAAATACATCGTTGTTGTTGTTGTTGTTATTGTTGTTGTTAGTGGCCTTTGAGTTTGGGGGCTAAATCCTGTGGCGTGCCAGTTCATATAAAACCTCTCCTTCGGTGTCTGACATAAAGAACAATTTCGATTAAAATTTTACTCAAAATTTTTAACCTGTGTTCTCTTGGGTTTAACTTTTTTATAGTAGCGTAGCCTACATAGGCAGAAACGGTAAATATCTCGGTTTCTCCAGCAATATGAGTCACCTATGATGAAGTAAATAATTATTAAGACTGACTGGAAGTCTTTCAGTCCCGCTGTGGTATGATTATTCGAATAAAATCTCTGAATTTTACAGAAAATGAAGCTTGGAGATTTTTTTGGGCCATATTCAAAAAAAGAAGTTTTTGCTTTGGAAAAAATAATAATAATAATAACAGCTTTATCCATCGACGACGAGAACTGATCTCAATCCCGCATTTCTATATGGTTTGTCATTACTACCGATCTTTGACGACCAAGCACAGATTTACAAAACAGTCAACAACTCTGTGTACTCCAACTCGTCTTGTTCATTGGGGGCGCTCTTCTTCGGAGTAGGCTTGGTAAAAGTCCTGGTTGTCTTAAACTCGAGTGAGTCTCCTTCTTCGGAGAGAGAGCAATACCCAGAAGCCTCGGACTTTCTCATGGGGCGCAAATAAAAGGCACCCTGGACGTTAGGATCTTCTTGGGTCATTTTGCACTCGCCATTCCAAGGGTCCTCCTCAGGTATACCCGGCGTTTCTGGTTCCTCATTTGGGGACTTTGTTTGGTGAAGCTCTGCATCAATGGGGATAGACAGCTCTCGGTATTGACGTACCTTAGGAGTGCATTTATCTTGTTTTAGTTGAAATCGTTTCCGGCAAATAATGATGACTATTATTATGATTAGTAGCAATGCCACAAGTGTTCCGATAGCTATGTACCGCTTCGGCGATGAGCCTAGAGAGAACAAAACGAAGGTGTGCATTATTGATACAGCTTGTTCGGCCAGGAGAGAATACTCTAATTGACACAGATTGCTTTGTCAACAGTGAACTAGAGCAGGGAAAAAAGAACGACAAATTACCTAGTAATTTCCTTAAAGTTTAGGCAGTACATACGTATACTACAGTTAACTCAGACGAGTAAGCGATCGAGTAATCGACTGCAGATCGACTGCAGACACTCTTCCACACTGAACATCATGAGGGAAAATGCAGTGGTGAAGAATGTGCAGAGGCCTTTTTGGTTTTAAAAGCTTTTTACAAATATCGCGAAGTTCTTTTCAAGTTTTGAAATAGGACTGTTGGCCAATGTACTTAATAAGTTTCTTCCCACGGCCATACTAATCCTTACAAGGCACCAATCCTCCCCCTTAGTTATTCAGAACTTATTTGATGCCTAGACGTAATATTTACCAGGTGAGCTTTAACTTTCTGTAATAGTGCAGCAACGACAATAAACTCTTACCATTAACAGGGAGGGCTTTAATGGCAAACCCCTTCTCAGTCTTTTTGTTCGTATCACTTAGAAATCTTATCCATAGGATTGAACTGCTGGATTGGACTGTGGGAGGACTGGTAAAGCCACAACGCCTTCTTATTTCTCTTCCGTCCCTGAAAGTAGTTCCGCTCTCTCTAATAGGTGGAACAATGATCATATCATTTAGTCCTGGTAGGTTACGAAATTCTCAAAATGGAACACTATTGGCTGAGTCTAAAGTAATTAACCTCGTTAACTGCAGGGCCGAGTTGTTCAAAGCTGGGTTAAGATAACCCCGGGTTAGTGCAAGATTTGAATTCTGATTTGAAAGCTTAAAAAGCATTTCAGTTTTAATTCTTTTTGTCTTCGCGTTGATGATCGGAAGTTCTAAAAATGACAGAGAAAACTATCCAAGAAAATGCTTTTGAACACAAGAGAAAGAAACCCGGGTTAAATTTAACTCCGGGTTAAGCGCTAATCGGCCTTCGAACAACTAGGCCCAGGTCTATATCCAGAAATCTAGGGACGAGGCTGTAAAGTAACTTTATTTAAGATGCGGAACAGTGATTTTTTACTTTTGCATGTAAACCCATGTTACGTGCACCATACTTGCAGTTTATAGGGGAACACCTGAGGAGGTCTTAGAAATGGCAGACATTTAACGTCTACACTTAGTAAAGAATAAGGACTTAAAAAAAAATACAGTGAAAAATTTGTTATATCTTATTGAGGAGTGAGGAGGCAACGAGGCAACAATGGTCTGTATTTTTTCGCTGATACTCTTTGCAAAAGGATCGTTCCCTTCATTTCCAAGAAAAAAATTGTACTATTTCAAGCCTTGTTTGAATTTTCGATTGTTTTTCCGGAAGAAATTGCGGTGAAACCCTCATCAGTAAACCTGGCTTTGATAAGTGCTGAGGTACCACCAACCTGACGCTGACGTAGTCATGACAACCAGAGTCAAGGTAGCTCTCTTCTAGTTTGAATTCCAGAAAAGAAATCTGGACCTTGTAATCTTTTGGAGCCAAAATTCTCCATGTGCATTGCATGTTCCGGGGATAAGGATTGGGGAAGTTTGGACTGCTAATTGTTACACTGGTTCTCGCGTTTTTGATGGGTACTTCTCGGTAGATATCCTCTGTGTGGTTTCCGCGTGTCGTACACGCTATAAAACAAGTCCAAGACCTAGAATTAAACCTTTCTTTAACAAAAATTTAGGCTTTAACTTTTCGAGCGCTAGGCCTTGCGTGGCTTGCATGCTTGGAACAGAATGAATTACTGATTCCGAAGCGTAGGATCCCGGATTCCACTGGGAAAAATTTCTGGATTACAGAATCCAAATTACCTTACATTGGTTGAACTCTGAAGAAGGGCTAGTGATCTTTAGATTCGAGGACAACAACGACTACGAGTACTTAAAGTTTTTTTCGCGTATTCTCAGAAAAAAAAGACGCCCTGAAAGCTTCATTGTTTTTTTTTTGTTTGTTTTTCTTGTTTTTTTTATTCATATCGAAGGAGGTTAAGCCCTCTCTCGATTGCAAAATGATAAAACTTCTAACATTCGTTTCCGTCATTACGACATTCTCGCTAAAACTCGTAGTAGAATGACGACAGCTACACGGAAATCGTTAAGATTGCACTACAGACAGTAGACTACGAGAGAAGAGGCGGAGAGGGAAACAACACGCAAAGATTTTCTTGTTTTCATCACAGTTCACAAAAATGCAAGTCAGTTTTGCATGTGATCTTATCTTTAGGACAATGAGCAAATTCTTCCATACTTGAAGGAAGCAATTACGTCGGGTGAAATTAGTGAACAAAGTTTTGGTTACACAGGTTTTATTTTTTCGCCCATGAATACTTATGTCAAATATTAAAGAAATTGACAGAAATAGTATTAGCTCATTTATTAGATTTAGAAGATGGACTTCTCCGACTACTGATCTGATGTAGTTTGAAGTATTGAAGTGCCGAGTTTCGATTGTCTCGAAGATGTTTACATCATTTTCATTCAGCAAATGCGATACAAAAACTCGCATAAACAAAGGTTACGCAAGTAGAAAGACACACTAATCAGTTCGAACAAACATTGAAACTTTACAAGTGCGAAGAGAAAGTAAATTACCTGCATGATTTCTCTTCTCCTCGGCCGTCAATCTGAATTCTGCGTATAAACAGCTAAGCTTAATTAAATATGAGCTTAGCTAGACAAAAATGTAGTCACAACAGTAGATTAAAAGCGTAAATCTGAGCAGAAATTAGACAAAACTTACATATTTCGCTTCCCTCTCACTTAAAGCAGGTGAATTGAAAACATTTTACGAAAAGACGATATTCTTGAATTACCGAGACGGCAAAATGCGAGCAAAATGTTCTCCGTAGTCGCGACTACGCGAAACAGCTCAACAACTCACCATAGCCGCAGGACTACGGGGGGAAAATGAACAGTCACGTGGTTTGGATCATGCGCAGTAGCATTTTTAACCGTAGTCGTAGTCCGTAGTCGCGGTATCTTAAAGAAAATCTCGTCCTCGTAGTCGAACTCGTGTTAGAATCTAAAGGTCTCTAATATTATGATGCCCTAACGATGACGGAAAAATGAATATTGCAATATGATTGAAGCATAAGGAGGGAGTGAGGATGGCAACCATCCCGACATTTGCATCACTAAAGGATAAATGTTGCTGCTTGAATGTTAAGTATTGACTCACCACGGTATGATGTGACTCTAAATACTCACCGGCGATACTGTTAGAACTATATCGCCCATTTTAACGACTTATATAATCAAGGAAAATCACTAAAAACGTGACCTTACCTGTAAATTGTGCTCGAGAGGGAGTAATGGCAACCAAACCTATCAAAAACACAGTTACCATTTAACGTCTTTAAGGCAGCGAAACCTAGACTCTGCAAGAATTCGTTCTTGTACCAAAGTCTAACAACCCCCAAATTAACGATCCTGCTATCCAGGAAGCTATTCGGAAATTTAAAAAAAAAACCCGTCAACTCCTGTGAGCTCTCGAAATTGCCTAATGTCTGGGAAGTTTGGAGATCAACAATTTTGAAAATTCCAGATCGGTAGCACTTCGATTTTGAGTTTAAATCACCGTTAATCTATTGAGAGATTTTCTCAACGATTATAGTAGTAAAGTTCTCAACTCGATATAAGGCGAGACCTTCGATCTGGAGAAAAAAAATAGTTAATAGTGGAAAGGATCTCGACCTGTTTCCAAACATTTCTCGGTCCCATACTTCGACTGAAAGCGTATTTCGTATTTTGAACGGCCGTTTATAAAAAAAATAATAAAATAAAATAAAAAACACTTTTTTGCAGAAAGAACTGGAATTTTATTCAGATTTGAGGGCCGTTCTAACATCTGGAGAAAAAGAATCACGGCGAGAAGAGTTTCGAGTAGTTCCCTATCATTCCTCATTCCATACTGCGGTTGACCGCAGTTGACCACGTATTTCACATTCAAAATGGCCGCCACTAAACAGACACGCGCTTGCAGAAGAGATCTAGTTTTTATATTGTGGGATTTTAATCGGATTTGGACGCTTTTATCAGTTTCGTTTATCAGGAGCATAAAATCATAGCCAGACGGCAATTTCTAGCCTATACCACTTAAAACATAGGGATTCATCCAAGTCAACCCAGAAAAATCCAAACAACTTTCAATTTTACAACTCCCAAAAATAACTCCAAGAAAAGCGTTGTTAGGTTTCTTGCTTTTTTGTAATTCTAGGAAGTATTATTTTTATTCATTTATTCAAGGATATTTTCTTTTGTCCACAAAGTCACTTGTCTAGATACTTTCGTCTCTGAGTTAGAACCTCGGTAAAATAGCTATAAACTTTTTTTTTATTAATTATATTGACAATATATCGATAAATATCTTAAAGCTTTTGAATTTTACATGCAAATCAACCTTTGGATATTAAAGCGTTAACAAAGTGAAACTTATGCTGTATTTTAAAAATATATATATATATCCAGGCTTTGCGGTTTCTGTAGACAAATAATTTCTATTTTGCAGCTTTCACTTATTTTTTATCACTTACCATAAAAAAAAATGACTACAAAGTGTATATCAGCTTGTTTGAAAAAAAAAAGAAGAAAAATATTATAAATAAAAATGTATATATAAAAAGTTGCGTCGTCTAAATAATGCCTTTCCTCTTCTAAAGTCGTTGAATTAAGTGGAAACTTCGATTCCTTTTATTCTTACTTACCGTAACATACTAGGTAAATGAAGACTCCAACATTAAAAGTCACGAATCTTCGCAAGAGATTTGCTCTATCCATCTTTCCCTCGAATCGAAGCTTTGATCACCACACAATCCTGTTAGATTAATTATCGTCGTGTTTCAGTCAGAACGCGTTTCACGCCTTGCAGACAAGGTGATAATCAATATTTTGTGCGTGAAGGGCTTTAATTTACAGCATAAAATATTTTTACTCTGCCTCCTACCAGGCGACGACAAATGTTAATTCAGTCCGCACGAGGCAAGATCAATGACTTTCTTTGATTCGTCTTAATAGTTTCAAGGTTTTGCTCACACGAACTGTTGTTTGAACTAAATTGGCAACAAAGCCAATTGAAGTACAACAATACCATGCAGTGATCGATAAGTGACACATGTCAAGAAATTAAGCGGATCGTAGCAAATAAACTGTACTCTGCGTAATTTAATGGGATCTTTCAAACGAAATGGAACAAAATACCAAAAAGTAGCTTGCAATAAATTAGTTTTGATGTTTCCGAACCAGATTGGATGACAAGTATAAAGAAAAAATCATAATAAAACGAACAACAAAATGCTTTTTTTAGACTGGCGTGATGTTATATTTTGAGTTTGTTGATTCCTGGTCGAAACAATTACCTCTGGCACTTGTTTGAACTCATATGAAATGATAAAAACAGAGACTTCACGCTGCTCAAAGGTAACTAAATTGACCTATTGTATTCTCTCAACGCTTATCTTTTTATTGTGTCATCGGAAAGAAATCAAATTAAAATTCACAATTTCTTTTTTCCAGGGCGTTAAAGTCAATTTGTATAGAAAACTGATACTGAATAGTATTCAAAAAAGGGAAAACTCGGTTCAAATTGAGCTTCAGATGCGTGTATATATAGCCTTGGTCAAGTCAAGTTTCATTTTTTCGCAATAATCTTTAGTTTTCGTTTGTTAATTATAATTATTGTATTTAAAAATCTGATATCCTTTTTTTCCGCTCAACTCAATTACGTATGCTACATGTTAACTATGCAAAAAAACGTTATTTCAAAAGACAATTTTTAGGTCGTTCGTTTTAACGTGTCACTTTCATTTAGTGCTTTTCGTTTAGAATTGTTGCATTAAACTGTATGAAGATTCGCTCTTATTTCATTCTTTGAAGAGTCCAAGATATTTTCATCAATACTTAACTAAATATATATTGATCTGTAGTCATGTACAGCTGCTCGCTTTAAAACGTTTAAAATTTCAAACCAAGGCGCTGATAAGTAATTCAGGACGCCTATTCAGTTGTCGGAATATATAATACCTTTGTTTCCGCGAGGCTTAACTGATACACATGATTTGATTTTTCCATATGAGACGAAACTTCTCCTACAGAGCCAAGAACAAAATTTTACTTTAAGGGGCAGTGTAGAAGAGCAATTTTACTTTATTTTTATTTTATTTTTTATCAATATTATTACTGTGATTTTATTTTTGATGGAGGTTTTTTTTTCTTTAATATGTATTACTTATTTTTAAACGATTAACTTTTTTCTTTTCTTTGTTTTCTTTGTTTTTTCTTTTTTGTTTATTATTATTATTATTATTATTATTATTTTATACCATAATACAACATGATGGAGAGTGCCTTTCTTAGGATGTGAGATGTTCCAAGTAGTGTGATATTTTGTACTTCATGTATTTTGATGTTACCCAGGATCTGTTGTATATATTATTTCGTCAGCCCTTTCTTCATTAGTCCCAGGGCTCCTACCACTCTCAGAAAATACTCTAATACTCTCAGAAAAAGGTGGGGTTTTCATTGGCTCCGGGCAACAACCAGCTGCCTAGGAAAGCCAAGAAGCGTCCTTCGTTTTACTTTGCTCCCTTTTACTCTTTCCAACACTTTCCTAAGGATTCTTGCTGACCCCAAAAGGACATATCTCTGAATCAGTTCAATGGATGTGTCGAAACCTATGGTCCTCAGATTTTCTTTTAACCTGAGTAGTACTATCCCCAATGCCCCCACCGCTATAGGTATCACCTTTGTCCTTACGCCCCACATCTTTCGGATTTCTCTAGCGAGATCTTGATATTTTTCTTCTTTCTCGTCCTATTTTGCTCTCACTCCTTCCATCATCCGGAATTGCCACAACTATAGTTGTATTACCGAAATTAGGACGTGGTGGGATGCTCTTAGCACCCTTGGTCCAGATTTTGGGTATTTTCCGAACGACAGGAAATGCTGGATCATCGCAAAACCAGCTAAGGTTGAAAGTGTCGGGGAAGCATTCAAGGAAACGTCCATTAATGTAACAGTACAAGGGCAGAAACACCTTGGGGCGGCAACAGGACCAAGGGAGCATTTAGAGGAATATGTCAGCAAAAAGGTATCCAGTTGGATCAATGACATAGCTAAGTTAGCTGAATTTTCTCTATCTCAACCACAAGATCTATTAGAGACATTAGAGAATGCAATATCTCATGCCTCATTCCTTAGAGGAATATGTCAGCAAAAAGGTATCCAGTTGGATCAATGACATAGCTAAGTTAGCTGAATTTTCTCTATCTCAACCACAAGATCTATTAGAGACATTAGAGAATGCAATATCTCATGCCTCATTCCTTAAGGAATATTCTAGCGCTGCCAGTTCGCTTGGGTGACCTGGGTGTGGGAAACCCGTCCCTTGAAGCAAGGTGCGAAAATGCCTTGTCTGTCAAAGTAACAAAGCCCCTTGTTGAACAAATTGTATCTCAGTCACATCAGTTACAGGAAGATTCCCTCACAAAATTAGCATAGCAGGAAATAAGAAGTGAAAGATTAAAGGAACTCGAACACAGGGCAGAGCGTATTAAGGAGATGGCACCAAGAAAGACTCAGCGAGCGTTAGATCTGGCAGCAGAAAAGGGATCATCAGAATCTCTTACAGTGCTTCCCTTCCAGGATTTAGGGTTTAACCTGAATAAGAGGGAGTTCCGTGATGTTGTTAAACTACGCTACGACTGGCCGGTGGAAGATATCTCCTCCATGTGCTTGTGGGGGAGCCTTCATTGTTGATTGCTCTATGATTTGCTAACTAGGAGGTTTTATTACACAACGCCACAACGAGCTAAGAGATCTCAAAGCTGAATTTTCTGAGTATGGTGTGTAGCGATATCGAGATCGAGCCAGTTCTTCTAGACATCTCGGGCGAACATTTAAACAGAGGATCTAATAAAGTTCAGGATGCCAGGTTAGATGTCCACGCGCGTGGTTTCTGGGAGCGACATCGATCAGCATTCTTCTATTTTAGGGTCTGCCACCCTATGCTGTATCGTAAAGGGACCTCGAGCTACAACAAATTTATCGTATCCATGATAACGAGAAAAAGCGTCTCTACGCAAGGAGAGTTCTGGAAATCGAGCATGGAACATTTACACCTTTTGTCTTAACCACAACTGGAGGAATGGGAAAGGAGTGCTTGATGTATCAAAGCCGTTTAGCACAACTGATTGCCATCAAAAAAGGGGAGGAGTATGCCAGAACCATCACATGGATCAGAACCAGAACCTCATTCGCACTCG